CCATCTTTACAGGAATATCTCTGGCATTGGCTTCAGTCACTAAGCGGTGACAGTGGTGAGCAAACTGTCTTGCTGCCCCACGTCCACTCCTAACCAGCCTGGAACAAAGCAGGTCTGTGGCTAGTGTGACTTTGGGGGCCAACGCCACACAACAGTAGGAGAGTGCCCAGGGAAGAGGGCATGGGGCAGACTTCCACACGCCAGAACGGCCTGATTGCCAGCTTTTAAAGGTGGTCCCTGAATTGAGCTTGCCACTCTCTCTGGGGGCTCCTGGGGACACATGCCAGGTCAGAGGATAAAGAGATGAGCCTTGACCAGGCCCTGGAGACAAGGACAGAAGACAATTCTTCCGCAGAGCAGGTCCTCTGTTATTGTGCGTGGTTGTCTCAAAAATGAAAAAGCGAGGTCAGCGTCATGCTGTCGCCTGCCCCTTGCACATTCCAACACATACTATTTCTGGATCTCACCCCGGGAGAGGAGGGCCGGAGACACACACAATGGGCGCTTCACTTGGTGAAACACGGCTATTGTGCCTCTCCCCGGCGCTCAGCTGGGGAGCACAGCCCTGGCACCGCCAGCGAGAGCCGCTGACATGGGCTGATGAGTCAGCCAGACTTCTTAGGCAGGAAAAGAAAAGGCAGGGAAATGGGGTGCTTCAGAGAAATATTTTTAGTTTTGGAAGATTTGCAACTCTAAAGCAGCCTTGCTAGTCATCACTGAGTTTTTGCTTAGTTCGTTGGTGGGGGTTGTGTGTGTGTGTGTGTGTGTGTGTGTGTGTGTTTTTTTAATCCCAGTGTCTTGTCTGCTACTTGACTGGTTTTGAAAATATGTCCTTAAGGTTCAGATGAGTCTAAATAAAGACAAATATAGATGCCAAGCACATCTTATCTCCCTAAAGCTGTGAGGTGATTGAGGATGGGCAGCACAAAGGCCTGGGTCAGAGGCAGGCTTGGGAGAGAGGATAGGATAGAAGGACGTCCCCGGCTAAGCCACACTTCCATGGGGCGAGAGAGATGCTTCTGACTCTATACAAGACCAGGAACTCCTGCCCCTGGGAATAAAGAAAAAAACAACAACGACAGACAGACAGAAGTGCACACACGCTACCCAGTGCCACAGAGCTTTGCTTAGCTCTCTTTGATTCCAGAAGGACCTGAGCTTCCTCCTATGAGAGATAATCTTCAGAATTAAAACTCAGGTCACACACACACACACACACACACACACACACACCCCAATCCAGGAAATTACTCCTTTGCTTGCTCACCACCACCATCCTCCCTCCCCCCCTGCCCCGCCAAGGGAGGACCAGGGCTTGAGGAGAGGTTGGGATGTGTCCCATGGTGCATGGTGGCACAGCATCCTCAGAGAGGACCAAGGGGCTCTCACAAATAGCTACATATTGATCCATCCTGCTCTGCAACACAAAGAGGGGTTGTTAAAGACTCAAGAGTCTACAGAGAAAGACTAACGAACATAAAACAAGATGCTCCCATCTGCCAACTGTGCAGCTGAACAGACGCCGTGTAATTTTAGAAACTGAGGCAATGTGAGCTGGGGGACCTGATCTCTTCCTCTTGAAGTCTCAAGCAAAGTGAACTTGACATACAGTAGATGACAGATGAACAGGTAGACACATGGACAGACTGGGAGGAGGGTGGGCCAATTGGAAAGGAGGACCACGGAGAAAAAGGGGCCAGCTGGGAGGGTGTGCGGATGAGGGGATGAGTCATCAGGAAGACTTTCTGCACATGGTTATTCTCAGAAACCCAGCTTCTGGGACCTCAACCCCCAAGTATACCATTTCTAGGAAAACCACAGACTGTGCATGCTTACAGTGCCATGAAATGGCTGAGGAATAGGAAGGTTTTTGTGGGAAGTTCTTTTCACATTTGAAAATGTAATTTCTAGATGCTAGGGACAGCTACTGTGAAAGTAACATGATCGTTACCGTGGCTCCCAGGCCCACACGTGGAAAAGAACCGGTCACTGTGCGCTTGGGCCAAGTGTCAGGTGTGACTGCAAGGGAATGAGAGGCCTGAGCGGGTGTCTGAACAGCAGGCAGGATTCGGGAGCACGTGCGAACGGGTGGGGTTTTGGAGACCAGGGATCACAGAATCTCGCACACCAGTCAGTTCTTCAGAAGGAGGCGGGGGAGAACCAATATCTCAGCACAGCGTTCTCCTCAGAGTCCGCATAGTGCTTCCGCATGTCAGCTCACGGGTGCTTCACAAAAAGCCTGTCACGGTGCATGTTATGACCTCTGGCTGGCAAATGAGGAAACTGAGTCTCAAAGTCCCAAGATCCAGTGAACGGGGAAGGGGATACTGGAAACCAGGGCCCTGCCTCCCAGGCCAAAAGGCATCCCCCCAGATGCAGGTGGTTGCACATTTCAATTGATTTATAATGACAGTCAGCGCTACATGTTCACACAAGATTGGCAGGCTGGAGGGAGGAAGGGCTATCGGTGATGGGGCCTTGAAAGATGCATAGGAGTCTAGCAAGTAGGTGGCCGGAGGGGAAAGGAAGGACATTCCCGGCAACAGATAGAAAAAGCAAAAACACAAAGAAATACAGATGTGCTGTTTGTTTAAGAAATGGCGAGCAGCTCGGTGTTGTTAGGCTGATGGTGTAGGCTGTGAGAGGAAAGCTAGGATGACAGAAAAGCAAGCAGGAAATTGTACAACGCTTGTGGTGTTCAATACTATAAACATTACCCAGCCCAGCAATCCTGAATGGAAGTGTATCCATAGTTATGTCCACACATGTACAGAATGACTTGTGTGCAGTGTTCTTCGTGGCTATACTTCCTAGACTGGCCAGCAGTCCCAGTGTCCACCATAGAGGACTATTTACATAAATGATGGACTATCTCCTCAAGGGACTATTACCAGTTGGAAAAAATTATAATTTCTATGAATAAATATAGAAACTCTTCAGAAAGTGTTATCAAGCCAAAAAAAAAAAAAAGCAAATGGGTGGACCTTTTCTAGAAGTTTAAAATTATATATTTAAAAATCAAGTTTCAGAATAGTGTATGTAACATTACTTTCATGGAAGAACATAAATGGCTAAGTATTCATATTTGTTGGCCAGGAAATTTATAGAAAGCGTTACATAACAAGGAAATCTGAGTAGATTGGGAGAAAGGAGAATAAGACTTCTCACTGAATCATTAAACTGCATCAATATGTTACCTATTCAAAATGTAAAATTACATTGAAAAGTATCTTTACTCAAACGAGTTAAAAATGTATGTTCACAAAAAAGCCTGCACACAGATGTCTCTGGCAACTTCATTCCTAAGTGCCACCCTCCGATGCACCCAGGATGTCCTTCAGCAGGTGAAGAAAGCTACACTCGGTGCATCCAGGCGAGGAGTGTGCCCCAGCACTGGGGAGAAAGGCGTGACCAAGCCTGGGAAAGACTCAGAGGAACTTACATGCCTATGACTGAGTCAGTGGTCAGCAAACTCATTTGTCAACATAGCCAAATATTAACAATACAATGACTGAAATTTCTTTTGAGCCAAATTTTTTAAACTTAGACTTCTTCTAATGCCACTTCTTCAAAATAGACTCGCCTAGGCCGTGGTATTTTGTGGAAGAGCCACACTCATGAGCCTCAGTTTGCCAACCACAGCACTAAGTAAAAGGCAACCATCTGAAAAGGCAACACACTGTGTGATTCCAACTAGATGACATGCTAGGAGAGGCAGAACTACGGGGATGGAAAGATCAGTGGCTGCCAAAGGCTGGAGCGGAGAATGACAGGAGATTTTAGGGCAGAGAAGCTATTCTGTAAGGCCCTGTAATTAATGGTGGTAGGTGTCATTATGCATTTGTCTGGAAGGTGTGCAATACCGAGAGCGAACCCTAATGTAGACTCCGGAAGGTGTCGATCCTGGCTCATGGTTTTTAAGGATGTTCCACACTAAGGCACGGTGTTCGTAATGAGGGAAACTGGGGGCGGGTGGGGGTGGTGAGGGGTTATATATAGGAACTCTCTGCACTTTCTGTTCATCTTTCTGTAACCCTGAAACTGCCCTAAAAATAAGCATTCACTTGGAAGAGAGAAAAGAAAGGAAGAGTGAGCAGGGGGCCACGTGGGAAGAGTCCTGAAGGGCATACAAACCACTCTCATCCTATAAACACAACACAGCATTTTTAAACAAGGCAGTGACAGAGCGGTGTTGGGGAAAGGTGGGGGAGGGGAGAAGTACTGGTGACCCTGCAGGGATCAGATGCCAGGACAAAGAGATGGGGCACCGATAAGCAGATGATGGAGGGGGTTGGGGTGGGTCTGAGTGAAATGGGGCCGTGGGAGGAGGTGGGGACACGAGAGAGGAAGCAGGACTCAGTGACAGGTGTCCCTGTGCATCAGTGATGAGTACGAAAATGAGGGTCTCCGTTTTCTAGATTAAACTCTGGCAAAAAGTGGAGCTGTTCGCTTACATGGAGCAAATAAGATGGGAAAATTATTCGCTTTCAGACATGGGAGGTGGTTTTACCTGCGGAGTCTGGATGTGGAAATATACGGAGGCAGCTCACGACACAGAGAGAGGTCATGGGTTTCTGAGACACTAATCCTGGGGCGTATCAAACCACACGGATTTATGCAAGGGCACAAAATTCAACCTACAGGGCATTTTAGGAATAATATCCCATGGGCCAACCAGTGAGATCATCTATTTCTTAACATGACTGTAACCATTAGACTAATATGTTAATGTATTTAGCCTATCCAAAAGAAAAGAAAACACGCTTTTCTAAAACTATTTCAGACATTCATATAGTGGTTCCCCTTCATCTGCTGGGGACACATCTAAGACCCCCAGTAGATGCCTGATAGTACCAAACCCTATAGGCACTATGTTTTCTCCTAGCCAGTGGTCAGCAAACTCATGACCATTCAGACTCTCGAGCAGACCTCACGGAAGAAGGCGCTGGGCAGAGAGGAAGAGAGTGGGGCTAATGGAGAGGCCGCGGCCCACCACTCACCTCCACCTTGCTCTCAGGTTCGTGATCAGCAGCGGGGAAATACACCACCTCTTGCACTTCATCCCTGGGCCGAGCTGAGTTTTTCCCAAACACCACCAGGCCGTCCTTAGCGCGAGGCGGGAAGGCCACCAGACAGCAGCTGGGAGGCGCTGCAGCCATCCTGGGAAGAGAGCAGAAGCAGAGGCGGATGGGAACAGGCAGCCGAATGGGGAGAGTTCATGGAGCCTGTCACACCAGCTCAAAGGGTTTCCTATTGAACTGTGTGCAGCAGGCTGACTGCAGTGAGATCCCAGCTGGCAAGTGACGGTGGGGCGCCTGGAGTAGAATTACAAAGCCACCGAGACCAGACACCGCTTAGTCCTCCGTGGGATTAACCAAGCTCAGATCTGCAACAACCCGCAGTGCCAGCCAACGTGCATGATGTCGGGGAGAGGAAGAAGGCTCTTGTTCCAGTTCCAGGCAGCAAACGCACACACACTGCCATCTGTCCTGGCACCAGGAAAGAAATCAATAGACCTTGTCACAGTGCCTACGGAAGTGTCTTGGATCTAGAGATGAATGGCTGCCACGTAATAGATTTGGGGATGGTGACAGAAATGGGTCTAGGTAGAAAGGGATGCCCCCTTTTTATCTAATTCTCCTCCATCTCAATGACAGAGCACCCCAGCACCTCCTGACTCCCCTCCCCCCGCTCCCACTGGCTTGTTCTCTTCTACTTGGTCACGGAGCATCCTCACTGCCTGATCCTTCTCTCCTCCTTTAATGTCCTTTTCTCTCTGGGAAAAGTCCTCCACATCAGAGCCACCCTGGTCACTTCCACACCAGTGGCCCACATGCTTCACTGCAGCTCAGTCCTCTCTTTGAGCTCCCATCCCAACGGCCTACAGCAGTGGTCGGCAAACTCATTAGTGAACAGAGCCAAATATCAACAGTACAACAATTAAAATTTCTTTTGAGAGCCAAATTTTTTAAATTTAAACTTCTTCTAATGCCACTTCTTCAAAATAGACTCGCCCAGGCCATGGTATTTTGTGGAAGAACCACATTCAAGAGGCCAAAGAGCCGCATGTGGCTTGTGAGCTGAAGTTTGCTGACCACTGGCCTATGGTATATCCAACCCGGATCTCATCATCTTCCCCAAGCTGGTCCCATGTCCAAGGTTCTCCATCGCAGTGACCAGCTCCACACCCAGCCCACAAGAGCACCAAGATTTCAGGAGCCATCTTATCATCTGCTTCTCCATTACCTACCATAACACCACACCCTGTAGGTTCCATCTCCTAAATCTCCATGGAAACTCACCACTGCTCTCCATCTCCACGACCGACCCCTGCACCAAGCACCGCCATGTCTCACCTGGCTCACTGCAGCATCCTCCTAAGGGATGACCCCAAGAAGCTATTGTCTTCCCCGTCCCCAACCCCCCCGACATTGCAGCCAAAGTGATCTTTTTAGCAGGAAGATGTTTTTCATGTCATTTCTACTTAAAATCCTTGATAGGTTGGTTTCCCACGACTCTGAGACTAAAGACCAAAATCTGATCATGCCGCCTCCCCAGCCTCATTTCCAGCCACACACCCCTCCACTCTCTCAAGGCTAGCACACTGGCCTTATACCAGCTCCTGCAAATGCCCAGGGCCTTTGCACAGGCTGTGCCTTCTCTCGTGAGCAACCCTTTCCTGCTCTCTGCACCAAAAACATCTGCCGAATTAACTACTGCTCCTCACACACCAACTCCAATGCCCTGCTCACTCATGATACCAGATGATACAAACAATCAAATCTAAAATATTTGGGCAACTATTTTATTATCAACAATCAGTATTTAGTCTCTCCTCCATTCCCCCCCCCCTCCAAAAAAAAGTCTAAGCAATAGGAAGGCAGAGACCATGTCTCTTTTGCATACCACTGTAAACCCAACTCTACACAATGTCTTCTGCAGGGTAGATTCTCAATAAATAATGAGCAGGTGTCCAGTTCTCCTTTCTTAATAGTCCACCAAATGGAACCAGACTCTCTGCAACGCTTTCTCTTTACACCATGCTCTGCCCCTGGCTAGAATGAATGCCCTGCTCTTAATCTTTGTGAAAATTCGTCCAATTCTGATTCAAAATCCCTTTCTTTCAGAAAACCGTCTATAAAGAACTTGGTCGTTTTCTCGTCATCCATAGCACTAACGCATCCAGTTTGTTCTAGGATAACGTGTATCTGTTGCTCGTACACGTACTGCTTCCTCTTCAAATAAAGCTCCCTGAGCGCAGGACCCATACCACCCAACTACAGTTGCTCTTTCCCCCACCCCCTCCTATCATCTATGGAGCCAACTGTCATATTTGTGTCACTATTTACCCAACTTAAATGTAATTTTATTTTACAAACTCAAAATGTAAGTGAGAAGTAAAGCACTGTTCTCAGAGAGCAAATGGGATTCAAAACTCGGCCCCACTACCCACGAGCTGTGTGACCCTGAGCATGTCACATTACCTCTCTGGGCCCAGGTTTTCTCTTCTGCAAGTGTTGTGCCCCAGCCCACAGGTTTATCAGGAGTGTCCAATGCAATGATGCTTGAGGACCTATTTTGTACTCCCTGGAGGCTACATGAGTATACTAGTAAGATATTTTATTTGGTTTTTCACTGTTTAAACAGAGCATCTCAAAATTTCTGTTGAGCAAGCCAATCAAAACCAACTCACCTCAGTCATAACGGGGCACATATCAAATTGCAGAGTCAGTAATGTTGTGAGGGACCATATTGCTCCATCTACATCCAAGCTACTTCAAGTTAGTCTGTACTTGCACACCCGGGGCTGTCAGAGCTCCTCCCTGCGTTGCTCAGGGCAGCCTCTAAGTCTGAAAATAATCCCCTCCCAGCTCAGAGAATTAGGCCCTCTGCTTTGTGAGAAAGAAAAGGCAGAATGATAAAGAGACTCCAGTTCTTTCTCCCCTTAACCTTTCCCCTGTTCACAAAAACTGCATTATCTCCAGACTTCAGGCGGGCGGGGGGAGAGAAACAAAGCCTCTGTATGTGTAAGAGAGACCCAGAATAATGATAAGATAAGGTGCCTTCGCAGAGGGTCCCTAGAGTTTGGGGGTGGGAAGAAGTTCTGACTCAGCCAAATAAAGTGAAGCAGACCCAGAGGAGATGAGAGGGAGAAAGGCCACATTTACTGTGCTCGTTTGCCTCGCGTCTGGAACATACTTCCCTTCCTCCCCTATTGCTGGGCCAGTTCAAAAGCTCTGCTGTCTCATCTCTGAGGAAACCTCGCTTTATTTGATCCTTAAAAACAGGAGGGAATCCCCTGGGCGGCAGTGATGAGCTGTGTCTGTAGAAAATAAATAAAACCCACAGGGCTTTTGCCAAATACCTTTCTTTAAATATATTTTATTAATTTTTCACAGAGAGGAAGAGAGAGGGAGAGTCAGAAACATCGATGAGAGAGAATCATCGATCAGCTGCCTCTTGCACACCCCCTACCGGGGATGTGCCCGCAACCAAGGTACATGCCCTTGACCGGAATCGAACCCCGGACCTTTCAGTCCACAGACTGATGTTCTATCCACTGAGCCAAACCGGTCTCAGCACCAAGCACCTTTTGTCCAGCCAGGACGCCTGCTTGGTCAGCCTAACTGAATCATTGAGTCACATGATGAGGATGTAGGCAACAGTATGTGGGCCAGTGAGGTGGAATTTGGGGAATGATTGGGAATGCCAAAAGGAAGAAGAACTTTGTGTGTTTGTTTGTTTTGTTTTTATGTTTGTGTGTGTTTTTTTGTTTGTTTGTTTGTTTGTTTGTTTTTAAGTTTAAGATGAACCAGCAGCCTGTGTATCACATCCAGGGGCCAATGAGCCAAAGCTATTGTCCATTTTCCCTGACTCACATTCTACACACGGCAGCCTCAGCGGTGACTTAGCTGGTTCCTTCCTACTCTCTCCCATGCTGTGCAGGGACTTCCTAGTGATGGGAATGCTGTGTCCCTACTGTCCAGGATGGTGGCCACGAGCCTCAGGTGGCTACTGAAGTGGTCAGTGTGATTGAGAAACTGGATTTTAATTGTATTACAAACTTCAATTGGTTCAATGAAATGGCCACACATGGTAGTAGGACACCTGTTGACCAGAACAGTGATACAACCTCCTAATAAACCCAGAACGAAGAGTTTCAGACTGCTCTTCCCCGAGATCCCAGAAGGACTTGGGTGTGATGATAGAATGTGCTCCCGTTCATGTAAAATGGACTGCATAGCGTGCTGTCCTCATTGCTCTTTGGCTTCGAGAAACAGAGCACAACCGCTGAAGAATGAATTTTCAATTGTAGCGAATCCTACTTAGGCCAACATTAAACGGGAAGTGAAGCCAGGCCTGATGGCTTTGTCTGTAACGTGTTTGTTTTGAGGAGTAATTCTGGGGGTCCAGGGGTGGATGTCATGGAACTGAACCCCGGTGTGTCAAAAAGCAGAGTTTTCCAAACTGTATGTGGTGGCCTTTTCTTGGGTTATGAGATCATTTGAGTGCATAAGATCAGCATTTTTTTAAAGAGACGCATTTTTAGAAAGAATAAAAAATAAAAAAAAATAAAAAAAATAAAAATATATATATATATATATATATATATATATATATATATATATATGCATTTCACATAGTAAGGATTATGTGTTGGTACAAAAAACTTTATGTTCAGGTATCAAAATATATGTGTGATGTACTGGGTTGAAAGACAATATTTCTTACTGTGGGTTTCGAGCAAAATTCTTTAAAAGCAGCGGGTTATTTCTACTTACTAAGGCTTCTTTGTGCTAATGCCCATTAGGAGTCTTGCCAGGTTGGCAATAAACTAACAGTTCCAATTAATGAGACACTCCCATTGAACTCCCATAGATGGCCAAACGGACAGCCATTTCCTACAAAGCGCTTGTTAAGAATATTTTAAAGTACATTTATCTGTACGGCCTGCTCAGTGGAAGAAGCCAGTCACAAAAAATGCAAACCCCGCGTAATTTCACTTACATGAGGTTCCCAGGGTAGTCCAATTCATAGAGACAGAAAGTAGGATGGGAATTACCAGGGACTGGGGGAGGAGAGTGGGAGGGAGAGATGTTTCATGGGTTTAAAATTTCCGTTTTACAAGACAAAACAGTTCTACAAATCAATTGTGCAAT